AAGCCAAGCCGGATAGGCTTTTTTATGTCGAAAGCCCCAAAACCAGCTATCTTATAGCAGACAACTAATGCAAGCCTACTCAATTAATCTCATAAGTAAAAGCTTGTTCGTATTGCAACTAATAGAAAAAAAAACAACTACTAGACTAGACTAGTAGTTGAGTGCTCCTTGTTGTTTGGATCTTGATTGGGTCCGAGCTTCCCAAGCTCTATGCTGTTGAGGAACTCTGAAAGGGTCTTACCACCTTCTTGATTTACTATATTTAAGCCTTTGGAGTACTTTGGGATTATATTCTGCGCGCGAGGATTTGTGCTTATGGGCTGGGGTGAATATTGCAAACCAGCGAATCTGGTGGTCGACAATCGTTCGCACTTCGTAAAGGTTGTCGCGGCACCTCTAGTAGGATAGAGGACTTATTGCAATGCTCGTGGACCAATTTACGATGTCTCCGCCGCTGACGTTCGTCAAGTGGGCCATGTGGATTGGCCAGGGTCTTCTTCGACTAATGATACCTCGATCTTGAACCCTTTGAAGTATCTTTTTGATAGGCGCCTCTATTTGTATGGGGAATTCACTGCTGATAGATCTCACCCAGTGTCCCCCCTCATTCCCTGCCGTCTTTCGACCCGAGGGAGTATACAATGATAACTTTCGGACATGAGTACCAGATCGTGAGACTGCCCGTTGAACGTCCGATGGCACCTTGCTCCGACCTGAGCTATGCAACAACGAGATCCCCCTTAATCCCTGTAGGATGTGCTTGATAGTCCCCCATAATACACTCACTTGGGGATTTCTTACTCCAGCTGTTCCAAGAGTCTCCGCGAGTCTCCGCTAGTTGAACCGCGTCCAATAGACTCCATGTCCCGCTCATCCCCTTCGTCAACTGTTTGATCGGGATACTATTCCCTAGGTTCCTAAACTTGGAATAGATGGTGGAGCGTAGGTGGCAAGTAGTTATATGGATACGATGCTTTACCCGTAGATGCTTCTCTAACTCTCGCAAGAATTGTATGGGAGTCATCCTCGGAGGGACTTCCCGAATGATCGTACCGAGGAATTCTACCGTACTCCGTGTAATTATTGTTATTGATCCTACAGAGCTTCCCAAACGTTCAGGCTGGATTGTACGAAGTGGGCGATACGTTTTTGTATTTCTATGAGAAGCTCTACCGCACCCACGATTCCCAATAGTGAGTCGTCAGCATATCGTGCGTAACAAATCCTTATTAAGTAACGGTTTTTTTAAAGGGGCTAGCTTACGAGCCAGGTGCCTCTCTAACCTGAAAACTAGTATCGTCTCCCCGCCCAGCTCTATCAGCAGGCCCTTTCTTTTGCAATACTTAATAAAGTCTCTCATGACCCAATTATTATTACAACCTTCTCTACCATAGAATTCGGCCTTCGGGGTCAACCCTGCGGCTTCTATGAGGAAGGAGGTGCAAAGGAGGCTCGAGGGCTTATTAAGGAAGGCGGCAAGGGCTGATGAGGGGGGGAAAACGAAAGGTGTTTTCTGGTTCCGGGGGGTGCTTGTGGGGGAGGGGTGCATGCCATGACAAAACAAGGGAATTAAAGGCCGCTTTGCATTGGATGCTCTTTACCCTCCCATAATGATGTGGCCAGGGAGGCTGCAGATGAAGTAGAAATGGCCACCCTTGGTGATAGTGGATAAGTCATTGCCACTGTTGAACCTCAAGTATGTTGCTGTTGCATTGCATGCATTGAAATTCTTGTGTGTCACTCTTACCACGTTTTGTAATTGTTTGTTATACTCAAAAACTACATACATATAGTATGCAAATCAGGAGTCAATTATATACTATCATTCATACACACAAAAATAAAATAAAGTAAATGAGACATAATCAATCACATAAAACATAAATGGAGCAATTTGAGTGACTTGTATTTTTTATAATAGATCCCACCAATTGATATATATAGTCAGGAAAGAGGTTGAGTGGATTTGGTTGTTTCTGTAGAAGGGGCAGTGGCCTGTGGAGTTAAAGTCTTCTTAAGTTCTTTTTTTGTTGTTGGTATCTGTTTTCTTTTTAGTTTTGTTGCTTTAAAAATATCATGAAACTTAGGGAGTGGTTGTATGGATGTGAGCAGTAATAGTATAGATAATTGTACTTTCTGAATCTCTCTTGATGCATGTCATTTTTCTGTTTCTTTAATTTCATGTTTTAATGAAATTATTCTTTATTGATCAAAAAAATATATCTAGTTAGGAAAGGATTGTTTTATGTAACTGGTATTGTGTTTATAATATTAGATCGATGGAAAATTACGCACGTACCTTTTGTAGTTTGACCCTTATGTCACTTTGATTTTTGTAATTTTAATTGCATCAATTTTAGTGTAATTTTTTTTTAATATTGTTTAACTTTAGTCCTACTAAAAAAGTCACTTTAAAGATTAAACTGGAATTATGGCACAAAATAGTCTGTTAGCTATCTTTAAAATAATTTAACTGTCTAATTTAAAATGGTTCATTTCTTTTTAAATGAACAATTTCACTCTTGATTTCTATCTATTTTTTCTTAACAAATGTTATCAATTGAATTCAATTAATACAATGTGGAAAAATAAAAAATATAAAAAACTAAATTAATACAAAAATAAATAAATTGCAGGTCATGAGTATCATCTAACCTCAATGAAAGAACTAATTATATACACGAACATTAACGAGGCATTTCAATAAGAGGATATGGAAGTTTGAAGCCACCTAATTGATTCTTTCATGATTGGTGCCATCCTTCTGCGTGTAGATTTTGCTTTCCTTTCTAGTAATGTTTTTTATTTTTAATTTTTTGGAATTGTTTCCATAAAAGTTTTTTTATAAATTAAGTCATCCATTTCTAGATGGACTTCTTATATGTGCCGTGTACATGCCAAGAATAATACAGCAATGCATATATAATAAATTCAATAGGATTATATAAATACTTTCTGTACCAAAATCTTTGCAAAAATCTATTGCCATGAAATATTTTATTTCGAAAGTGGATGTGTGGTGTAAATGTGAAATTAGTGGGAAGTGAGTTATACCTACAGTGATTGTAAATCATCGATTATTTTTTTTAAAGTAATTTTTCTGAATTTATAATATTGCTAAAAACTTTAAATTTCTTATTTTAAAATATTCATAATTATTGAATCAAGAAAGAATCTCAAAATGTCAAGAAAAATTTATGGATAGAGGATTTGTGCCATATAAAGCCACAAGAATACAACAATGCTATAAATCCAAAAGAAATACCCAGAAAAGTCAACATATAATCCAAGTGCAAAACACACAATTATAATTGAATCTAAACCGTACACAATCTTTCCCAGCACATTTCCTACAAAAAAATTTGGGTGCTTAGATTAACGCATGAGGATATACATAGATTCTGCTACTTAGGAGGAATGCTACCTTCATCTCTAACCAAACATTATAGTATAAAACTTGAGAAGTCAAGAAGGATATGATTAAAAAAGAAAATTTCTCAAATAGCATAATAAGAGTAATATGTAATATGTTGAACAGTATAAGTAAAGAATGCATTGATATGTGGAGTACATAACGGAAGATGAAGAAGAAGAAGAAGAAGAGAAGCGTACTGATGGTGTCTCTAACAGGAAGTTCTTAGAAGAAGACATTGTTGGTCCAACCAGAAGAGTCCCCAACCTTATACAAAACACCACCACCACAAACATCCTTGATCATCATTATCATCATCATCAACATAACCACTACTTTCTTCTTGGCCAAACCCATGACTCAAACCACCACAGAGAGAGAGAGAGAGAGAGAGAGCTTTCTTCTTGGCCAAACCCATGACTCAAACCACCACAGTGAGAGAGAGAGAGAGAGAGAGAGAGAGAGAGAGGGAAGACGGTGAATGAATGGTTAAGAAGAATTAGTGCCCTAGTGTGAGGCCTTATATAAGCTTGGTCAACTGTACTCATCTCATCACAGGTTTTGATTTAGGAAAGTTTGAATATTTTGGTTTTGTTGATTTCATTAACAAAATTAAAAATGGTAGTATGTAGTATGAAAAATTATTTTTAAATTTTATTTTTAAAGTGAGAGATAAATGTAAATTTAAAATTAGTAGAATGTTCATTATAATCCATAAATTTAGTGATTCATTTTTCTAAATCAAATCTTAAAAAAAAAAACATTTTTTTTTCTAAATATATAACATGTCAAAAATTATGATACGAGATCGTCACCAATAATAAATGATCTAGATTGTCCATTTGTAATGCTAAATAAATTAGCTAAATTAGCATAAGAATAATATAAGATTATTTTTTTTATTATATTGTAACAGAATTCTCTCCTTTTTCACCTTTTTTTAAGAAAAAAACAGATAAAGAAAAAGAGAATAAAATTGGCCAATGCTTTCCTCTCTTTTTTATTTTTTTTCTTCTTCTTCTTTAAATCAAATTTATATACATAAAATTAAATCACATAAAGAAATAAAATATATACATACATTTTACTGTAATAAAAAAAAAATGTACATATGTGAATGGTATGTGATTGACTCACTACTGAAAATTAGACTTTTAAATGCGTTTAAAAAACACCGCTATAGCTATCAAAAACGCCGCTAATTCTTTTTGTGATGTTTAGCACCAAACGCTGAAGATGCGGCCATCGCTATAGCTTTATGGAGCTTTAAAAACGTTGCTATATAAGTATAGGTGGCGTTTTTTGAAACACCGCTCAATGTGCTGCATAACACTACAATGACGTCACATGTATTTAGCGACGTTTTAAAAACGCCGTTATAGCTCTTTTCTATTTTAAAAATATAACCGTTAGAACTATACTATAGTGGCGTTTGAAAACGCCGTTATAGCTTCATCTTTAATTTTTTTTGGTTGTTGAAATTGTGCTGTTTCTATGAGATTTAATTTTTCAAATCTAATGTCTGTCGATCACGTTTTTTGTCTTTTTGATAAGCAAAGATCAACTTCAACTGAAATCCAACTATTCAAAAACACCATTCTGTCACTTCTCAAATTACATGATTCAAGACAATACTATCTTATCAAATTCTAAAGAGTAGAGAAAGTGCAACCTGGGAGTGCAACCTACATCAGAATCAAGACTACATGGTTACAGCTAATTTAACAAAAAGGACATCGAATGTGATACAACAAAAAAGAAAATTTTGTTAATTACAATTTTCTCAGATATCTGAGATGCCAAGCTCTTTCCTCCCAGGACAGCAGCAGTAGTGCAAAATGCTTGTCCTCTATTAAAGGAAAAACATAATCAGTCCAACATAATAAAAATTAAATGTCGTTTTATTACCTTAACTCTAAAGAGTATCACATATATTTTCTCAAGATTGTAATGTAAACAAAATTAGTGAGAGACATTGTTAAGTGAGAACTAGTGCAAGGAGAGGCCACACATTCTAGGTGAAATTGAAAACCTAAGTATGATTTTCGCTCAGGTGAAAAAAAGAGGGTGCTAACATATGTTTACCGCCAGTTTTAGGGTTTCATGCAACCAAGAAATTTGTGGCTGTAAAGGTCCTGTCAATCTTTTAAGTAACAATCATCAATTCATGAAAGATCCAAAGGGTCCAATATACTGGCATCATTAATCACCAACCTATGCGAGCAAGAGGGTAGATTTTTATCTGTGCATGTGGGCTAGTGCGGTGATGGGTGTAGCTGGTCTACAACTGTGCACGAGAGAGAGTGTGTTTTCAAATTTGCAGTGTTCTTTTCTTTCTTTTTTTTGCCTTGATACGACAAATTTCGTCACAAGGAAAAATAAATTTATCAAAGAAAAAAAAAACTAAGAACCAAAAGAACTCGTATATAAGCGGAGAGAATTGTAGACTTACAATTATAACGCCCTTAAAATAATACATAAAACCCAACATTCTTGACATGCATAAATACAAGATAAATAAACATCTTTCCATTCATCAGAGTAGTTAAGTACAAAAGTATTACATGTTGACAACAAAAGTAAACGCCCTATGGGCTTACAACTTTCCAAGCCAACACTTGGTCACAAAAAAGAGTACTAACTCAATTACACTTTAAGCCCTTGGCTTGTATCTACATGTAATACACCAAAAAGATAACAACAAAAGTCTTTCAATCTCTAAGCAATCCAAGCTACGTCCTTGGAGGTAGCATATCACCTGAACCTGAAAATGATGTCCCATATAGAGTGAGCCACAACTCAGTAGAGATATACTAAACCAATCATGAACAGTGACTAAAATAATGGCATTTGATAGATGGTTAACACTTATAAACCAATTTATAACATAAACCATTTCCATGACATAAAGTCCATGTTTCATTTCATATTCCTTTTCTTATACGATTTCAATCCATAAACATGGCTCAGAACCTGGCCAAACAATTCAATGAGACTACATTCCATATTAACACTTCCTTTATTCTCAATTCATATTAAACAACAATTCATATTATAACACTTCCATACTTCAAAATAATACACATATTCGTTGTATTAACACTTCTATTTAATACACATATTTGCTGTATTAATACTTCAATTTGATACACATATTCACTGTATCAATGGCGTCTATTCCCTATCTCCTCCCAAACAGGTTTGAGAGTCCATCCCCTATCTTCCCTCAAACCATGGAGTACATCCCCTATCTCCTCCCACACAATACACATATTCCAAGTATATAAACAATTATCATATACAAGGATCAATCAATACACATATTTGATGTATTATTTCAACCGTCATATTTAATGACATATTCAATATGATTAGTTTCGATTTTCCCTAATCAACATGTAGTGTCTACAACAATCAAGACTATCTTCCACCGATAGCCCAAAGCAGTTATTTCTAAACAGATAATAAATGCATCAACAGATATAATATCAACAATTTCATTGGTGAGTGATTAAATTATCTAACTCCACCATTCAACTTTATAATTCTCCAATCTCATAATCTCTAACTCAATTTCATATTCCCACAAATTAATTATTCAAATTAATTTATCACATAACTAGGGCATTTTCCCCTAATTTACAATATCAACCCTAAGGTTCATTTTCATCAATAATACAACAATAATTCCATTTCTCAATGTCTTACACATATATGGGTTTTATTATTTGAAAACCCCTCTTTTATAAATTACTCAACAACCCCAACTTTTTCCAAAATTACCCAACATCACCAATTAATCAAAATGACCAAAATTAAAGACAAAACTCATAAGATGGAGTAGGGTATCCCTACCTCAAAATGAAGAGACCCAAGGAGAAGATGAGAAAAAACCAAAGTGCTCCAAATCCACTATCTTTCAGATTAAAAGGAAGCTCTCAACACCCTCTACCTTTTTTACAAAGAACTTAGGGTAGAAACACACTAAAAATAGATGAAACCCTAGAGAGAAGTTAAGTGTAGAGAGAGAGGGAGCTAAATCTAGGGTTTTGAAATCAAAAGGGATGAAAAGGTGAAGTGTAATCCTACTGCTGTCTACTGATATAACACAGGCTTGCTTGAGCGAAGGATTGGTCGCTCGAGCGACCAGACACAAAGAACCCTCGCTCGAGCGAAGAAAGCCTCGCTCGAGTCAACAATTCGAAGCTTCAGGTCTGCAACCCAGAAGCACACTTGAGCGAAGAAAAGCTCGCTCGAGCGAAGAACTCCAAAACAATGTCCTCGCTCGCTCGAGCGAAGGAAAGCTCGCTCGAGCCAAGGAGTACAACTCTCAGGTCCAAACCCAGATGCAGACAGAAGCTCGAGCAAAGGACTTCTCGCTCGAACCACCAAACACATTAACCAACTCTTGCTTGAGCGAAGGAAACCTGGCTCGAGCGAAGGATCTAAAACAAAGAGCTCGCTCGAGCGACAAAGTCCTCACTCGAGCAAAGACACCAAAACCTGGACAGCAACCATTTGTTTCAAAACTCATCAAACCTATTACAAACCTGCCCAACACATCCTATTACTCAACTATAAAGAATTAAAGGATAAAAATGAAACAAATGCAACAACACTCAACCACGGAACCTAAGTCCAGAATACTATACATAAAGGGGAAAACCCGGGATCGCTATAGACTGCACTTCTACCTCCCCCTCTCCTGACTAATTACTCACCCAAACCTTTCTTGCATAATTCGTCGCTGAATGCCAAAAAAGAGAAGTAGTTTTTGTGCTTCACTATCAAACTCACAGAGAACCATTCATTATCTAACTCAAAAGCTTTAGCCACTAAATAATTCTTCCTATCAATTACTCCACTTTTTACAGCTTTAGCATAAGATTTTTGACCTCCAACCACTGTTATATCTTGCTTAGACCGCCTTTGTAAATCTATCTTCAAAGGTTTACTTGATTCTGGCCAGTGGTACTTTAATTGAGGCTTGGTGAACACTGCATTTTTAACTTTTATCTCCTTATCCTCAACCCATAAACCATTTGCCTTTTGAACAGCCAATTTTTTTGCTTCCGAGCAATCGAATATGATGAAGCTGAATCTTGTACCTGTTATTATCCTTCTCTTCATTAAAATGAACACATTCTTCACTCCCCTAAATTTGTTAAACAGGATGTACAAACTCTTTGAACCCATTGATTCAGGAATGCTATCCACAAAAATAGTGAACAATCCATCATTTTGGACACCAATATTGCTACCCTCTTTCCTTCTCAAAACTGGGTTCTAACCTCCCTTAACTCTACCATCTAGGAATCATTTTTCCATCTCGTATGACACTATTCTTTCCTCCATCCCATGGCCGAAGTTGCTCTATATATCTCCCTGTTCTTGACTTCTCCAAATCATAAACCAAGAACAAGACCAACCTTAATATTGACACAAACAAGTCCAAACCCACTAGTGTAATTAAAGGGATACCAAAGTTTACAAACAGAGACACTAGAGTTCAAGAACAAGTCCAAACACAAATAGAGACACAGAAGGTAATATAACCTGAGTTCACAAAGATGATGCCTCACCTTGAAAGATCCGTCGCCGAAAATTGAAGTTCACATGGTACGGATCTGACCTGCGAACTTACCATGCAGATCTACATCTCTTCTTCTCTTTGTTTGTCGCCAGAGAGCAGATCTGATGGAACAGATCTATGTCCACCGGCTCTAGATCGAACGAAACCGAGAGTGAAACCAAATTGATCTAATCGAACGAAAAGAGATAGAGAGAGTTTGTCACCAAATCAAACAGTGGTCTATGGTTACTCCAGCTGTGAGTAATCTAACACACCAAATTAAACCAAGTGTTTTCTCAAATTAATTGGGATTAATTTTTTTTTTCTTAATAAATCAAATCAAATCAAACCTTAAATCCTATCAAATGAAATCGGTTATATGAGTTTGCGTCGGTTTTATAGCTTGTGCATTCGAGTTACCCTGAGACCTTTGCTTCATTTGCTTGCCAATGCCCACTCATTCAGACTGCTTTACTCAAGTCTTTTGCCACTATCCTATATAGCTTGGATATGCAATGGCTATGTGACCTTAACAGGAAAGTAGTCGAGATAGCATATCAGGGGATCTTTGACATGGAGCGTCATCAAGTGGATCTATATTGGCTTCGGAAGCGCCTAGATATAGCCTCAAACGGCAATCAACAGGTAGAAGTTTTGTTTGTGCTCGCCTCTTATCGGACCTCTATAGATTAGACAAAGGCAACTCTTCGTTAACTTGAGTCAAGCTATGCTCGAGCCTTAGAGGCTTTAGAGGCACACTCTACTGCTTGTCCTCAAGATGTAGATGTGACGGGCAACTTCTTTGAGGGTGTTTTTAAAAGAGATTGAGTTATTATTTTTGTATTACTTTTTGGCCTCTTTCGATAAAAATGTTTTATCTAGGACAATGCAATGAAATGAAAAAGGTTTTTATTTTTTATTTTTTGTGTGTGTGGAGATTTTCTCACTGTTTTCTTATTCTATTTGATAAAACATTTATCTCGAATGATACAATGAAAATAAAAAAATACATGCACATGTTCATAAAAGCTAAAATATTCTCATTAATTCTTCAAATTTCTTGACAAAAGTATAAAATATTCATCACAAGTGATAGAACAAATATACATCATAAAGGAAATCAGCTTCTTCATAACATAAGGAAATACAACTTTTAGATAAAGCAAGAAAATGAAAACGAGATTTAACTTAGATGAGTCTATTTTTGGGTAGTAGCGCTTGATGAACTTTGCATTGAGTGGGCCTATTCGGAAGCCATCTTCGATCCTTACGAGCCTGTAGTACCCACTTAAGCTTGCTTGAACCACCCTGTAGTGCCCTTCCCATTTCGGAGAAAACTTGGGCAAGGTTTGTCCTCGCATGATTGGGTCTACAATCCTCCATACTAGATCACCCTCATTGAACTTTCTTGGCACCACAGTGTGATTATAGGCTCAGGCAATGGACTCATGATACATTTCCATGACTTTTGCGGCTCTGTCTTGCTTTTTCTCTAATGCCTCCAGTC